GACAAGGAGATATGACAGTTGCAGCGTATTTTGCAACCCTAGAAGGACTATGGGAAGAACTTGATCATCATCTTATTCTCGATTGGGAGAATGCAAAAGACAAGGAGAGGCATGATAAACAAATTGAAGAGGGTAGAGCCTTTAAGTTCTTGGCTGGTTTAGACCCAATGTATGAGAGCATAAGGTCTCAATTTTTTGGAAGGGATGAAATGCTAGATTTACACCATGTCTATTATCTAGTAAGGAATGAAGAGGTTAGGAGGAAAGAGATGCAAGTTGACACTCAAATACAGCCAGTTGAACAGCCTGTTGAACATTCAGCCCTGATTTCTTCAAACCAAAAGGGCAGCAAGCATTCAGACAAGAGGCATCTTAAGTGCACTCATTGTGGAGGTGAAAGACATGTAAAAGAGACTTGTGGGGTTCTTTATCCTCATCTAAAACCAGCTGCGTCAAGGAAAGACAAGAAGCCCCAGAAGAATCAAATAGCAAGTGGGAACCTTGTTACTAGTCACAGTGGTGATAGCTCGAAGAACACATCTACAGTTGCATTTTCTCCCCTGGGACAGACTGCTAACTCCTCCATGGAGCTGTTTCTTTTTGGCTCAGCCAGCTGATAACTACTTTAGTCTCTTTCAATTATCAATTTTCTCACCCCCTTATCCATTGCCTTCTGTAGCCCAAATACTGCTGCTGTCAATTCAGCTATAATTGAATTCCCCTGCCGACATGGACCTGAATATATTCCAACCACTTCATTCTTTTCATTTCTGAATATCCCCTATACCACATAACTAAAATATTGTCATCAACTTATCTACTCCACATAGTACAAGTAGTTTTCACTGACAAATATGTTAATTCCTAAAATATTTTGTGTTAGTACCAATGGAAATGGAAATATGTTGAGGAAATATAAGGAAATATATGGACATTTTAACCATGTCTGTACATACACAATTTACAACTTAAGATTCTCATCCACTCATTGTGATTTCACTGTTTTATCAGAAAAAAAAAAAAGGCTTTCTAAAACCCAGAAATTTTACTAAGACATGCTTCAAATTGTTTGGCTATTTGGTCCAATCTTCATCTGACAGCATTGATTCTATGATGTTGTTTAGATAAGGTAATTTTATTAATCAAAGATAATAATAATACAACAGGCCTGCAGGGTTGTAAGCAGAGAGACCCCAGCAGGACAACACTCATAAAACATTCCAAAGAATTACATCATGCAATGACCACCCCAAGACCCCACTCTTCCCACAGACTGACAGACCAGCTCATCCTCAGCCCTGCTCAAATTACAGAATACCCTTCTATTCCTTTCAGACTACAAGGTCCAAACACTAACAGATGGAGCCAGCTCGCAAAACAACTTGCCCTTCCTACTCAGACCTTGAAGGAGACAAGTAAACAGCACCTTACCGAAAGCTCTACGCATCACCCAACTCAGACCGGAAGCTCATAGAAAGAGGCCTTGAGCCACCCAGTAGTGGACAAACAGATGATCAGCACTTTCCATCTCCACCCCACAGAGCCCACACAAACTATCTTGAATATGCACTCCCCTTCTTACCAGGCCTTGTGAAATATCTACCAATTGCAGCAGAGAACACAAGAAAGCCCACCTTTGAAGGAATTTGTGGCTTCCAAATCAGCTTACATGGGAATTGGGTGTCCCTTGGGTTTCTTAGACTTCTTTCAAAAGATTTAATGGAGAACAACCCATTGGTTTCCCATTTCGACCTCTAAGATTTCTATTATGTGTTTTTTATTTGTATAAAATATAAATATATGGGATTTTCAACACCCATTTGAAATTTTGATTTATATTTGAGTTTGTTCATGTTTCTGAATTGAAAGAGAAAACGATTATGCATAAAAGAGAGTGATTCTGCCATAAATGTGCAAAGTTGAACTTCTTATGCAGGCTACTTACAGCTACAGTGGCTTGGCCTTCTTCAGCAGTAATTTATGCTGGGATTATCCTCTCCACTTTAGGTGCTGCTCTTCAAAGTTTGACGGGGGCCCCACGCTTGCTTGCAGCAATAGCCAATGATGAAATCCTCCCAATTCTTAATTACTTCAAGGTTGCAGATGGGGGTGAACCGAGCCTTGCTACCCTATTTACAGCATTAATATGTATAATGTGTGTCATTATTGGGAATCTGGATCTTATCACTCCAACCATAACCATGTTTTTCCTTCTCTGTTATGCGGGTGTCAACTTGTCTTGCTTTCTTCTGGATCTTCTAGATGCTCCCAGTTGGCGTCCACGGTGGAAGCTTCATCATTGGTGCCTCTCTCTTCTTGGAGCATTTATTTGTATTGGTATGCAGCCTTATGTTGTTAGCATCTTAAGCATGATTTTGCTTGTTCTGTTGAACATCCCCCCTCCCCCCAAAAAAAGGAAAAAGAAATGGAATCTTTGATTTTTTTTTCTAGAATCAAGACAAAGGAATAAGAGAATCTATAAAAAGTAAAARGGCAGTCAGTGCACAAGGCTCCTGCCCAAGCAAGGCCTGCAAAGGGACAGATGTACACAGCCTTACCCCCTGCACATACAGAGGCTTCTTCCAAAGAATCTATAAAAAATAAAAATATTCATTTGCATGATTTAGAAAAAYATAACCCATTTTTTAGCCATTTGGTTATAGTAAATAGTTTCACTTTGTTGTATTTAGATATTGTTTAAAAATGGGAAGATGCATATTGGACAATTGCTCCTACCTACCTGGAAGTATGTGCATATTTCACTTTGATAGGGGGTACTTCAAACCAATGTTTCAAAATGCTGAGTTGTGACGTGAGACCTTCCACTAACTAGAGGTGCGAGGCGTAATTCAGAACATAAGAGGTTGTAGTTCAGCAGTGATAAAAGAGAATAGAAGAAGGAAGAGAGAAGAAGARAAAAGGAGTTCTATTCTCTATCTATGGCTGGCGGCGCCTAAGTTTATATTTATACTTAGGGTGACAGCTTATAACAAATAACAGAGAAAAAACCAAAATTACCCTACTAGTAAGATACATGTTACAACACAATCCCTCAAGTTGGAGTGTATATGTCAATCATGCCCAACTTGTCACGCAATTCATTATGTCGCAAATAGTGAAAACCCTTTGTAAGGACATCAGCTAATTGTTCCTTGGAATTGATGTAAGGAGTACAAACTTCCCCCTTCTCAACTTCAATATGCTTGGTCATATCATGAAGAACTGGATTGGCTGCAATATTAATGGCTGCCTTGTTGTCACAATAGAGAGACATTGGACCATCAACAGAGAAGCCCAACTCTCCAATCAAATTTTTTACCCATAGCACTTCCGAAACTCCATGTGCCATGGCCCTATACTCGGCCTCAGCACTAGATCTGGCCACTACACTTGATTTCCACCAAGTGACCAAATTTCCACCAATAATTGATTTCCTATCATCAACTGCTCCGGCCCAATCTGCATTTGTGTAGACTTCCACTTTCATATGACCATGTTTCTTGAATAGTAACCCATTTCTTGGATATTTCTTTAGATATTTGAGTACTCTCTCAGTTGCCTCTAAATGGGAGGATGTTGGTGCATGCATAAACTAAGGACACCAACAGCATAAGCTATATCTGGCCGAGTCATTGATAGGTAGAGAAGTCTTCCTACCAACCTTTGAAGTTTCTTGACATCTATTACTATTCTCYAGTACAATCACCAAGCCAATGGTTTCAATCAATAGGGGAATCTATAGGCTTTGCTCCCAACTTTCTCGTGTCTTGCAAGAGATCTAGGACATACTTCCTTTGAGAAATGAATATGCCCTTTTTGAGCGGGCAACCTCAATACCAAGGAAATAACTTTGTTGTCCCAAATCTTTCACCTCAAACTGCATAGCAAGGGATTCTTTAACTTTCTGAATCTCAAAGTCCCAATTCCCTGTAATCACAACGTCATCAACGTAGACAATCAATAACACAACATTCTTCTGGTTTCTTTTGACAAACAAAGTATGGTTAGATTGGCACTGCTTGAACCCAATTTGTTGAAGAGCCAAGTGAAATCTACTCAACCAGGCCCTTGGGGGTTGTTTCAAACCAATAAAGATTTTTTTCAGTTTGCACACTTTCCCCTCACACCCTTGTGCTACAAACCCAAGAGGCTGAATCATGTAGACTTCTTCTTCCAGATCCCCATTCAAGAGCGCATTTTTGATGTCCAAGTGCTGGAGTTCCCAATCAAAGTTAACAACCAAGGATAGTATAATCTGAATAGTGTTCATTTTAGCAACTGGGGCAAATGTTTCTGCATAATCGACCCCATACACCTGTGTATACCCTTTTGCAACTAACCTGGCCTTATACCTCTCAACCRACCCATCTACTCTGTGCTTTATTGTGAATACCCACTTGCACCCCATTGGTTCCTTGCCTTCAGGAAGATTCACCAACTTCCTTCATTGCATCTATCCATTTAGGTATAGATAAGGCTTATGCAATACCTTTGGGAATGGAAACACAATCAATGGCAGTCAGAAAAGCATGAAATGAGGGTGCGATGTTTTCATAGGACAAGAACTGAGCAATAGGATGCTTAGTAGTACATGATCTAACTCCTTTCCTATGAGCAATTGGGACATCAAGATCATTGTTAGAATCATCAATAGCAATAGGTTCAGTAATGTCAAGGGGAACAAGAGTACTTGGATTTTCCTTCAATGAGTTAGATAGTGTTGGATGTATAGTCTCAAGTAGCTCAACAGCCTTTGAATTCAGCTGTCCCTTACGGTGCCTCAAGAACACACGGAATGGAGAGGAGTCAGGAATAGAGAAAAGAGAAACTTGAGGAGCTTGCCTCTCCTCCTTCACACTTCTCTCCACCTGAGGAGTTGGAAGAAGGATTTAGATTCAAAAAAAGACACATCCATCGATACAAAGTACTTATGTGTGATAGGATTAAAGCATTTGTAGCCTTTCTGGGAAGATGGATAACCCAAAAGAACACATGGAACCGACTTGGGGTCCAATTTACCCCGGTTTGGAGATAGATAATAAGGGGGATTGAGGGAAAAGAAGTTGATGTGGGGCCTTGTATTTGCAAGAGGGCATGATAGCATACAATTGATAACATAAGCTATGACCATCACAACATCAATCCAAAATCGTTTTGGAACATTCATGTGAAGCATCATACTACGGGAAACTTCAAGAAGATGTTGGTTCTTCCTTTGAGCAACACCATTTTGTTGTGGTGTTTTGACACACGAGCTTCTTTGAAGAGATCCATGAGAGGAGAAAAACTCAGCTAAGTCATGATGAAAGTATTCCTTTGCATTATCCGATTGGAAAATTTGAACTTCAACATGAAATTGAGTAAAAACCATGCGGTCGAAATCTTTCACAATCTTGGGTACTTCTTCTCTAGAATGCTTAGGATATATCCAAGTGTATCTTGAATAATCATCAATAAAGCTGATAAAATCATGGTTTCAAATGTCGCGAAATGTCGCTAATGTCGCCCAACATATGCCGATGTCGAGGTTCACCAACATGAAAATGGATGGTAATATAAAAATTACATTATTTCAGTCGACATTTCCTATATTTCGGAAATGTCGACCAAATCGGTCCAAGTAACCAAAAAGATAGTGTTTCCTATTATGTCGACAGGATGTTGACTAATGTACATTAATAATATAATATATTAGTATATTATATTAATATGATATAGTATATTAATATAAATTATTCCATTAATAATTTCTATTTAATATTTCAAATAAAATATTTAT